CGGGGGCGGCGCGGGGGTGCTGGGGAGTGGGGGCGCGGGGCCCGGGGGCGGCACGGGGCACTGATTCTGTGCCGGGCTGGGGCAGAGGCTCAGCGCCCGGTGGCGGATGCGGTGCAGGAGGGCGCGGGGGCGGGCGGCCAGCCTGCCCTCGGAGAGCCGCCGCCGCGCTCCGGCTAGCTCCGACCTCATGCCGCGCAGCATGTCCAGCGAGCACCGTGGATGGCCCGGGCCGGGACTCGCAGGGGGGGCGGGGCTCGCAGGGGGGCCGGGCTGGGGGCTGCAGGGACGTGGCTCTTCCTCGCTGGCGGAGGCGGCTTCTTCTTCGTCGTGGTCCTCGTCCTGGTTTTCTTCCTCCACCACCTCCTCCTCAAGCCGCTGCTGGGGTCCAGCCTCAGGGCCCGTGTCTGCGGCAGGCATCGGCACCGGCTCGCGGTCGGGACTGACCAGCAACAGCCAGGCGGGAGGCGCTGACGCCGTTCCCGGGGCGTCGCATTGGAACGGGCAGGGTCCCCGGAGGACAGCCTCTACCCAGAAGAGCGCCTTCCTCTCCAGGCTGAAGTCGTGCTGCAAGTAGACGGCGACGTGAGGCTCTGGGACCCAAACCGGGGCCAGAGGGCGCACTCCTACTCCCTGGCCTTCCGGGAACCTATTCAGCCAAAAACTTGCCAGGTCTGGGCAGCTTCCGATTCTTAATCCCAGGCATCCATCACCACCCGACTCTCACCCTCAGTTTTAGCTAGCAATGGGGTGGATGAATAGCAACGACAAGTGAATAGCAAATTCGGCCTCCACGGATGCAGGTAAAGAATAGGAAGTCCAGAAAGAGACTTTGATATCTGTGGGGCTTTAGTAAATAATAAAGGTGGCATCTCAAGCAATGGGAAATAGAGGGACGAACTAATAAATGGTGTTAGCTAAAAACAAAAACAAAAACAAAAAACAAACATAAATGGTGTTAGCTAGCTGGAAGAAATTCTCACTCTTATACAAGGATGATTTCCAAAAGGATCAAACATTAAATATATGTATGAAACCATAAAAGTACTAGGAGAAAACAGGAAAGAAATCCTTGATAAGCTTAAGTGGGGGAAACCTTTCTCACTGTAAATCAAAATCCAAAAGCCATAAAAGTACAGATACACACATGTGCAAAATCTGCATGGCAAAAATACAATAGGCGAAGTCAAAAACGAATGACAAACTAGGGGAAAACAGCACTCACATCACAGACAAAGGGCTACATTTACTAATATAGTGAGTGCTAGATATAGACTGGAAAAAGACCAACAGCTTAACATGAACAAAAGATATGGATGGGCCACAGAAAAGAGCCATACAAATGGCTTTTAAACACCCGAGCAGTTGCTCAACCTCACTCTTGACAAGAGAAAGGCAAATTAAAACTACCCTGAGATACCATCCGCCTAGCCCTCAGCAAAGATCCAAAGTCTGAGGACATTCTGTGGGAGAGTGTGGGAGGTACAGGCCTCTTGTAGAGTGCTGCCTGGGATGTAAATCAGTGACCCCTATGGAGGGCAATTTGGAAAAATACTTACAAAAATTCAAAAGGACATTTGCATATAGTCATTCCATGTAACATTGTTTATAATTGGAAAAGACTGGGAAGAACCCAAGTGATCATCAAGAGGGCACCCATTCAATAAAGTAGGATATATCCATATAATGCACAATGCTATACAGCAAAAAATAAAACTGAAGAAGCTTTCCGTGTACTGATACAGAAAGATCTTAAAACATATTAGGTTAGGGGCGCCTGGGTGGCGCAGTCGGTTGAGCGTCCGACTTCAGCCAGGTCAATGACCACTGTCCCAGGAGTTCGAGCGCCCCTGCCAGGGTTTCTGGCCAGATGGTCTGAGCTTGGAGCCTGTTTCCGATCTCTGTGTCTCCCTCTCTGCCCCTTCCCGTCATGCTCTGCTCTTCTGTCCCAAAAATAAAAAAGAACATTGAAAAAAAAAAAAAAATTTAAAAAAAAAAAAAAAACAAAAAAACATATTAGGTTAAAAAAAAGTCAAGAAGAGCAGTGTATGTATAAAATGTCTCACAGCTATTTTGGGGCCTGATTATTGGTTGGTTATTCCAACTTTGACTCAGGTCATTCGATCTGTAACCCGTTCAACATGGACTCTCTGCTATCCAGCCTTGATTTCTTCAGATTCCTTCGTCCTCTCTCTCTGCCCCTTCCTCTCTTGCTCTTCATGCTTTGCTCAGCTTTCTCAGCTTCCTCTCTCAAAAATAAATAAACATTAAAAAAAATGCTACCTTTGGTGTAAAAAGGGAGGCAATAGCTGTACTTATTTGTGCATATACACAGAAGAATCCCTGGAAGAATACATAGAAAATGAGTAACAGCTTTCTCCAGTGAGGGGGTGGGTGGATGAGAAGGTGTCAGTGGGAGGCTTTTCACTCTCCCAAGATATTCTAGCTGCCTGTGGGCCAAACTGACCCCTCACCTAGCTTTTATAAATAAAGTGTGATTGGAACACAACCATTCCCACCCACCCCTTTCCAAAACTATAACTCTTTCCCTACAACAGAGTTTAATTGCCCCAGTTTTTTACTATCTGGCCTTTTACAGGAAATGTTTGTCAACACTTGCTCTCTACCATTTTATAGATTTTTTTTTTTCATTTTTAAACTATGTGAATGTACTTTTTCTCTAAAAAAATTTTTAACAGTGATGAACTCTCATTAAAGGGAAACTCTGAAACAACAAAACACAGACTTGCCAAGGCTCTGAGTGTAGAAGGAAGGGAGAGGGCAGCCAGATGGATGGGTGGACATGGGCTTTTGGGGTCTGACAGACACATGTTGGAGTCTGAATGTGTCACGCACAGGCAACATAACCCTGTGCATCACTTGGATGGGAGCTTTGGCTTCCTGTGCTATGGGGTGGGAACACATACCTGCTAAAAGGGTTATCATAAATATGAGAAAGAAAAAAGAGTGAATGTATAAAGAGCACCTAAGCACAGGCCCAGTGTACAGCAGGTGCTCAGTTATAGTAGCTGTGGTTATTATTTTTTCACAAGTAATATAACCTCTATCTATAACATTATTGTTATGGGAAAATGTATTCCAAGTTCCAAATACTGGGAATACAGCCCAGTGAACTCAGAGGACTTACCAGGAGAAGCTGTAAATCATACTTGGAGTCTCATGCTTCTCTGTTAGATTGGCCCAGCAGTAAAAGAAATGGAGGCCCAGGAAGGGAAATGGCTCAAGGGAGTGCAGATACCCTTGCTGAGAGGAGGGGGGCAGAGCCAGGGTCAGCACCTTGGCTAGGACACCAGATGTAGACTTGGCAGAAAGGTGCCCAGTTCTGCTTCTAAGAGAAGTAGCTTTCAGAAAAGCCTCTTCCCAGCTTGGCCTGAGCTCAGCATGTAAGGAAAAGCTGTGATGATCCACCTCCAGTAAAGCAAATTTCTACTCCCAACCATAGAGGCCGACTTTGACTCAGGGCAAGAACCCATAGCACAAGCTGCCTGGAGAAAGCGAGAGCTCCTGCCCTACAGAGGATGGGCCCCTGGACATGTGCTCTGGGCTCTACA